TCCCTTGCATGTTTGTGCAAAGCTACCCTCATTAGTGTGTGATATGTGGCATCCTTTTGGAAAGTGGCTGCCCTCGTTGACTACCCACTCCCACCACTGGTATTAGAAGATAAATTTATGTTTAAAAATTTACTTCATCATGTGACTCAATGTAAACAGACCTGCTACTAATTTAGGAAGCCTTCTTTGCTAGTCCACTTACTTCCACCAATTACCCCTAGAATTTCCAATAGTGCCCCCATATTCGCTTTTCTATTACTTCATCCTTGCACTACACTCAGATAATGCAACTGGCCCTGAACGGGAACTGCTGGCCACTTACAGAAAAGAATCAGCTATACAAAAAACAATTCTGAGGTTTTTCAAAGGGAAATGGGATTATAAGTCTCATTTATTTCCTAAGAGGGCTGAACCTCTTGTTCTCTGGATCACATTACATGTGTGACTTACCATCATCTTGCTTCCATTAAATGACCTCAAACTGAACGACCTCTCCCAGGACAAAGAAAAATCCCCAAACCAAGCAACACTCATTCTATCTCCAACACCACCTCTTTGCTGTCTGCGCCTGCCTCCCCCCACCTCCAACAGTACCTTTGGCATTATTCTCTATGACTAACACTGCCTCCCTCCTTAAAACACTTTTAAGATCCAAGAATCCTTAGATGACTAGGAAGGTCTTTATATCTAACAACAAAGTGTTCTTTTTGCTATTTAAACCAGTTTCCTTGTACCCTTAACTCAGGGACAGGAGTGTTGAAACCCATTTCTAGGCCCAAGATAGAGCCACTCCGGCAGGGTGCCACCTCCCCAAACCCAAGTTTCACGACCCTGTAAATGCTCTGCTTGACCAGAAAGGAGGTATATCCAGTCAGCCAATTCCCAAATGCCAACATGGCTCTCAGGTCTATACAATATTTATTTTCTCGTTCCTTCATCTTTCTAAATAGCATTATACGCCCCCAGCCAGTCATGCCCTGGGCTGTGTTGTGGCTTCCAGTTCACTACAAAACTGACTTTTATACAAAATCCCTCAGGAAGAGGTCTCCACTGCTTGCAAGGCACGGTATTCCCCCAGTCCACGGATTGTTTTCCCTTGAATAAAGAACATCGATCTCATTCGATTGAGTTACTTTGTCATTTGATAGGAGAAAACAACTAGGCCTCTTCCTCTTCAGAATTACATTTCCTTTGGGAGAAAAGCCCATCCCAATTTTGTCTTCCCTTCACTCATTTTGTCTTTCCCCTCAGATGTTCTGGTCAAACGTGGCCTCTTGGGCATTGATGACCCTTGTCATTAGCAGAGGTTAGAGACTTTTCCTGAAATCAGAGGGTAATCTTGTAGCTCTCAAAGGAGTCAGCTTCAATTTCAAGTACTCTATGAGGGTTCAACTAGTAGAAAGAGAACAGGCAAAAAATGAAGTAAGCTTCTTTTCTGATTCTCCCCCACTCCATAAAAGATGGGCACAGTGGGGCTGATGTAGGAAACAAAACATGGACCTTGCCCAGCGAAATGTATAATCTTCCTTTTATCTGCAAAGGCATAAACCCTTCACATCTAGTATTTAAGGCACCAGTTTATGCCAAGGATTGCAAATAAATGGTGACTAATTAACACTTGCAATCAAGATCATGAAAAAAATCACCAGGGGCAAGTCGTGCCTGCCGAAGACCTATGCTCCCAGTAGCAGAGGTTCTGCTGAACAAGGAGTGTGTTGTTCAGTTCTGTGTTCCTGTTGCCTGTCTTTTGCCAGGAGGCAGTGTGTGTAAATAAAAAGAGCTGCAGCTGACTGAGGGTTTCCTTTGTTTCTGGTACCTGTGCTGTACATAGGTTATCTCACTGAATCCTTACATTAGCCACACGACAGAAGCACCACTACCCATTTTGCACAAGGAAAGCAGCTGCTCAAAATGCCACAGTTACTGAGTGGTACAGGTAGAGTTTAAACTGCTGTTACCTGACTTCAAAGCCACCATTACAGTATATTGTTCAGATATGTCTTAGAGGGAAGGGAAAGATAAAATCACATCTGGAGGCAGGGGAACGTGGAGAGAATTAAACAGCCCCACTACTGCCTGTTTGAAATACTAACACCTGAGCTCTAGTAAGGAGGGGCACTAGAGCAAGAGTGGGGTGGAAGAAATGCTCCTCCACCCTCCTAGGTGCATTCGGCTGGTCTAATAGTTAAATCAGCATGGAATAGATTGACAAGGGAACCAAACTTAATAACATACACACACATGGGAAACATGCCTACATGAGTACGTCAAAGACCCTATGCATATGAAAGTTTCCAAGACAGAAAGGGAAGTGAGTTATACAGACATCCTGAAAGTAAGGATGAGCTAAGTAAGGATGAGGTAAGGCACCTTGGGGCCTCAGAAAGTCATGGCAGGACAGTAAGAAGAGCAGATGTTCAGTGATTAGTAGTTTGCCCTGCCCTATAGATATGTTACAAAAGTTATCTCTGATCATCTCTTACTATGGGCAAGTCCCTTAATTCAAATTCTTTAAGGGAGAGGTTAAAGTTTCCCATGAGACTTCAGGGTCTTGATTGCCTTCAGCTCAAAATAATTCACATGCCAAAGTGGTACACCTTGGGAAGGACTCTCTTGAACTTCCACACAGGAATATTGCCTTTTTCTTTAGAAAACAACATAATAGAGTCTTAAACCCTACTTTCTGGTCTCTAGAGTTAACAAATACTAATTTTTGTCATAATTATTTCAGAATTTAAATAGACTTAAATAATGCATTAAAAAATCATGAAACTCTCCTGCATTTTATTGTGCCTTTTAGAGCCAATTATTCTCATTAGAGTTGATATTTATCAAGTCCCTCCTCACCAATTTTTTTAAATCATAAAGATTGTATTTGCTAACCCAAACCTAAGCCATTTTATCTGTTGAGCAAGTTCAGATTCTTTTGGAAAATACTGGTGGCTTCCAGTAGTTAGAGTCTGGAAAGTGACTCTCTGCAGCCTCACCCATAGTGCCTGTGATAAATGGAAATCAGTCAGAGCCTTCCTCTGCCCATTGGAAGGTGGCCCCGGCTGCCATGCCTCCTACTTTAGGTCAGGAAGCCCCACTTTCTGCCTCCAGAAATGCTTTTCAGATGGAAGTGCTCTTCTGGCAACAGAACGGGCCCATCTGTCCTGCCAATGGGTCTGTGGTGGAGACATGAAGGCTCTAGACTTTGAGGGTTGCTGAAAACATATACCATCATGCATGTGAGAGCAGGAGTGTGTGTAAGTAAGTATATGCAGTACTGTGCTGGGGCATGTAGAGCTCATGGTACACATCTCTTACCCGTATCCCATTCAGTGGCCCAGTGTCAGTACCTTGAAATTGATTGTGGTGGGAATATTTACACCCTGGAAATCAACAAACCCTAAGGGCTGTTTTCTCAGAGAGCTGGTTGTTAAGGATTTATCTGCACATGACTGAATATACCCCTTAATTTTTTCCAGTATAAATGCATTTTTTCTTTTTTTTTACTATTACAAAAAAAAATACCACAATAAATATATCCTATTTTGTGTACCTATGTGTGAGTTTCAATAGGGTATATACCTAGAAGTGCAATTCTTACCTTATAAACTATGCACATTTCAATTTATTAGATAGCTGAGAATTTCTCCCACTAGAAGTATAGGGTTTTCAGTTTCGTCATGTTCTTGTCAATACTTGGTATTGTCAGCCTTCTTCATTAATGCCAAGCTAAGGTTAAGGTTGTTTCATTGTTATTTCAATTGATATATTTCTGATTACTTGTGAGGTTGAACATCTTTTTATGTGTTTATTGGTCATCTGGGTTTTCTCATTTGAGAATTTTGTGTTCATATTTTTCCCATCATTCTTTTAGATAATCTCTCTCTCTCTCTCTTTCTTCTCATTAATTTGTAGGAGTTCCTTTATATGACCTGGATAACTTACTCTTGTTCAGTTATATGTAGTATCAATGTCTTCTTCCACCTGTGGCTTGTCTTTTTTTTAAAGATTTTATTTATTTTTAGAGAGAGGGGAAAGGAAGGAGAAAGGAAGAGAAAGATCAATGTGTGGTTGCTTCTTGCACGCCCCCTACTGGGGACCTGGCCTGCCACCCAGGCATGTGCCCTGACTGGAAATCGAACTGGTAACCCTTTGGTTTGCAGGCTGGCACTCAATCCACTGAGCCACACCAGCCAAGGCCAGTTTTTGGTTTCTTGTACACATGAAATCTCCGTATATGCTTGCATCTGTTTTGATACTCTCTATTTCATTCCATAGACCCATTGTTCTTTTTTGACAATATAACACTCTCTACCACAACTTTATAAAGATTCTTGATGTACTGTTAGGGTAGTTTCTTTCTCCTTGTTTTTCCTTTTCAGAGTTTTCTTATCTATATTTGGAGGTTCATTCTTTCATGTGAACTTTAGAAAACTTTCAGTTTGTCAAAGTCCACAAAGACTCTGTTAAGATTTTTATTGGAATAACATCAAATTTACAGACTTATCAAAATAACGACCATCTTTATTATGCTGTCTTCTTGTACATGTTTATATGCATAAATATGCATGTATCTGCTGTGTATAGGTAGATCAATCTTTTTTATGTCCTTTGATAATTGCTTTATAACATTTTCATAAGAATCAAATTCATTTTTATTAAATTTCAGTACTTCAAAATCATTTTATAGATTATTTTATTTCTCCTGTGAAATTGATCTTTTATCTCATATTTTTGAACAGTTGTTGCTGCTGTATAGAAATATTATTAATTTTTATAAGCTCATCTCACTATTAGCTTTTTCAAATTTTTTCTTGGTCTCTGAAACTTGAGCCTTTATGTTAAATTTAATATCTGTCCTCAGAAGGGTCAGTGGCATTTTCATTGACTGCTTTTTTTAACATTATTGTGCATATGCAAGGGTCAAAGTTTCCCATACAATTGTCGGGGCAAGGTCCAAGAGGTGTCTATCACAGGGTGTCTTTGCTAACATCTGTTCACTTGCAGCAATGGTTCGCACCAGGTCTGCTTGCATTCTCTCTTTCATCTTGTTTTTTGCTCACATAGCAGCTGTATCGGTGAGTTGAATTCTGCCCTTCTGGATCTTTAGAAATACTGATTCTAGTATGTGTTATCCATTTCCTGTATATTTATTTTCTTTCAGATTAAGCATCGTCCTAAAGGAGATGGTAAGGTTCAATTGAAGTGCATAGAGAATGTTTCTGAACTTTCTCTCTTTTGCTCAGCAAGACTAATTACGATCCCTCCCCCACTGCCTTTTTAACAGTGCATGATGCAGATTTTCATGAACAGAAGGATATCTCAGAAATCAATTTAGGTGGGTTCATTTTCTGCATTATTAATGTCTTGAAATAATTTTAGATCCTGTGATAGAATTACTGGAAAGCTATTACCTTCATATTATGGTATTGAGTAATTTGGGAGAAGAATTATTCATTGGTGCATCATTAGAATTTATGAAGTTTCTGTAAAATAGAATTCTGGAGAGAGAATGATGATTAGATCAAATTTTCTAGGAGAAATAGTATGTACTTAATGGATCTAGAAACATATAACAAGATTGTTTTTCATAAATATTTCATTTTGCCAGTTTCCACTTTGAAAAAAGGAAAGAAAAATGGATGATTATTCTGTTTCTTAAGAAAAACAGAAGGAGTATGCTGATGGTAGTATTTAGCTGGGGGAGAAATGCAGCTCATCTACTGAGCGATCATATTCACCAGCAGCTGTTTACTTGGGACTTAGAGAAGGGTGCAAAGGTGTTTCCGTTTTGACATCTTGTCCACAAACGCATTTCTCGACGAAATCCATCAGTCTCCCTGGTTACTAAGAGGAGAGAGAAGCTTAGTAGTTATCATCTCTCTTTTTTCTTTTTTTGTCCTGCTTCTAAAATTAAGGAGAAGCCTCTACATTTTGGGTGTTTTTGTTTAAGATGGGTGGGAATTGGAGGTAGTCAGGGCTGGAGATATCTATAGTTTACAAAAGCTTTCATAGCTACTTGCAGTTACTTGTCCAATCCTGTAGTGGAGGAAAGGGCTATTTTCATGTTTTGGGAAGGGACAGCAGGCTCCTTGGAGTTGAAGTGACTCATCCAAGATCACAGATGGATGTGATGGGGCTCACGTCCAGGTCTTCTAACTTATAGCTCCGTGCAATGTGAAGACTGCAATATTAAAACACCCCATACTGTGGGGTTAAATTTCTCCAACCTTGTCCCATTCACAGGGAAGGCAGGCTAGTTGATATTTAGTTGGAAAAGCTTGAGAATGACTGTATGGGCAGAAGAGAAACAGTTCAGTAAGGTGAGTGGGTGAATGGGTCCTGAGGCCATAGAGTCAGACAACAAATGACTAATCTCTCATTAGACTCAGTAGTCAAGGTGTAGTGATTGAGAGATCTACTCCACTTTAAAACAGGCTGGTGTTAGAATTAGCATTTCCTAATCTCATCTTTATTTATCTAGTAAAAACCAGTTCTTTTCCCTAGACCCATTTTCTTACTCTTCATCACCTCTGAACTATGACCTCAAAGAAGAAACTTTCCCATGTGTGACCTTTCTCTTTTTAGGTCATTCCAACCAAGCTGTCAGGATTGACTGGGTTAGCCACCTAACCAGAAATTGCAAAACTGTTTTGGGAAATCATATAGAGAAAAATTGTCACCTTTTTACTCTCTTCTCTGCATGCCCCACGATGCTGATACAACCTTTTTTGCCTCCAGGCCTGCTCCTCTCAGTCTTTTTCATTTCGGTAAATGCATTTTTCTCCTTCCAGATCTTTAGGCTCAGAGCCTCAGAGTTTCCCTAACTCTTGTTTTTCTCTCATACCTTGTACAACATCCATCAGTAAACACTGTTAGACCTACTACCATCAAATTATGTCACAAGTTGTGACTTCTCAGCACTTTCCCTTCTCCTGTCCTGGTCCAAGCCATCTCATCTCTGGCCTGGTCCTCGCAGTGGCCTGCTAACTGCACCTCCCTTGCTGCCCTCCCCCCACCCAGGCTGTTCTTCACAAAGTGACAGGGCTCTCCTATTGTCAGTCAGGCCACACCGCTCCTCCCATCCAGTCTTCTGACTGGAAGATTCCAATCTTCCAGCACTTCCAACACTGACTAATGTTGGTTGGCATCTCATCTAACACAAAATAAAGACTCTAGGGTCTTGATTCTCCAAGTGTAGTCCGAGGGCCAATATCACCTGTACCACCTGAGAGCTTTCTTAGAAATGCAACCTCTTGGGCCCCACCCCAGACCTACAGAATCAGCATCTCCATTTGACAGACCCCAGATGACCCTTAGGCACAGTAAAGCTTGACATGACCCGACCCTGGCCAGCTTTCTCACCCCATCTGTTACTACTCTCACCCACCTCCAATCACCCTGACCTCTTACCTATTCCTAAGAGGTCAAAAGTGGTTCTTGGTGTGTGGTCTTCCAACCAGCAGTGTCAGCATCATCAGAGAACTTGTTAGAAATGAAAATTCTCAGGCCCTACCCCAGGTGTACTGACTCAGAAACCCTAGGGGTAGGGCTCAGACACCTGTGTTTGAACAGTCCTCTATGAGGTCCTGACATGAGGGGATGGGCAGCAGTGCTGTCAGACAGCAAGGCTTCCTGCCCCAGGGCCTTTGCATTTGCTATTGCCTTTGCTTTCAGTACTGTTCCTTCACTCCCTACTGTTACAGAACAGAACAAGGGGGGGCCTGGGACGATATACTATTATTTAAAAGGCCCCCAGGTCCGTCATGTCCGCCTCCCGAGGAAAGACATCTCTCAATGTCAGAGATTCGTGAAAAGGAAAGGAAATATTTATTTAATGCTATACAAACTTCAAGTAGTGACCTAATGTCTTTATCAAAAACCCCAAAGTCTCCCAAAACACCCACAAACAGACACAGTCCTTCCTTCCTTCCCCCCTTTGCCCAGTCCAGAGTACCGTATTTCAGGGAAGGAAAATGAAGTCCATGACTCAGACAGTCCTCTGGTTCTTAGTCCTCCTTCTCGACTGGGAGACCTCCCTGGGTTCCCGGCACTCTCGGCTGAGTCGCCAGGATCTTTGCTAAAACCAGGTGGTGGTTCCCCCCTTCTAAAGCTGCGGGGGGTCCCCCACTCCGTCCAGGCCTCGTGGTTCTCTCTCTCTGGGATGCGGGAGTCTCCACTCTGCTAAAGACGCATAGTTCTCTCTCTCAGGGCTGCGGGAAGGGGAGAGCCCCCACTCTCCCAAAGCTGCGTGGTTCTCCCCTCTAATGGCCGCCAAGTCTGGGTTTTAAATCCCCTCGGCCAATCTTCCTCTGCAGCCTCATTTCCGACTCCTCCCACACTCGGCTTCACATGCCAGAACTCATATCCTTCCAGCTTTACTGCGCTGCCATCATGAGTCTGGGCAGGTGTGGCCCCATGTCCTGGAGCCAATCGTCTCCGAGCTCCCACGCAGGCGCTGTAGCCTGGGGGATCTGCCCCCAGTCATGGGGAAGTTACTTCCATTCCCCTGGTGGGGAAGTTACTTCCATTCCCCTGGCTCAGAGATGATCACAGCTATTTAACATATCTAAGCGACCAGCCAAAGGCTATAGATATGTTAAATGACCACGCCAGAGCTTAGCTGCAAAACAGCTCTCAATGGCCTTGCTCCATTTGTTCCTTCTCCCAACCCACACCCTGGGTGGGGGTGGGGGAGAATCTCCTGGACACCTTAAGTTCTGGACCCCATTTCAAATGCCCATTTGGGGTCCCCCCTCTTGGCTGCACCCTGTAACACTACTCCCTCAGAGTCCTGCCTAAATGCCACTCCCACTGGGAGGCCTCCCCTGACCACTCTTTATAAAATACCAACCTTCCCCACTTCAGTACTCCTTTTCCTCTGACTCTGCTTTATATTCTTTTTTCCTATTGCCCTTTTAACCATCTGCCATACTCTACACTTCTGTTTGTTTGCCTCCCCTCTCTTCCCAATGAAGAACACAATCTGCCCAAGAGTTTTGCTGTATTCTCTGCTATTATATCCCCAGCACGTAGAACAATGCCTAGGACACATTAGGCACAGCTACAAGGAGCAAAGCGGGTGGCGGCTAGATCGAGGCTGGCTTTCCATGGATGTGCACTTCTTCAGGAAGTGCTCCTCTCACCGTGCTCTCTCACCCTGGCGTGACCCACCTATGCCGACCAACCATTGGGGCCCAGGTCTCAGTGGGCTTGTTCACATGACTCCGGAAGAGACCTCCCCTGCCCCCCAACCCCATCCAGGCCAGGTGTCAGGAAATGCAAACTGTTTGTTGCTCAGGACCAACCGAGGTGAGAGTGTGGCCAGCCCAGCATGTGGTACCCCTCCTGAGAGGGCAATGCAGACCCTGGGTCCCACTGCTGGCGGGGCAGAGGTGTCAGTGCTGTCTGTTGTTAGGGTTACAAAGGTTAAGAAAGTCTAGAAAAAAGTGAAAAGGGGAGATGCAGGGACAGACTCAGTTGCTTGGTTTTGGAGAGTACGATTGTTTTTCCATGGGAAAGAGTGAAATTGATGGTATAGTAACAGAAAGGGCCTGGTTAGGAAGTCAGGAGTGTTAAAGCTCAGGAAGTGCTGACACTACATTACTCCCTGTCTCAGGAATCCGTTTCATCCACTGAAGTGTAAGAGGTGTGGAGTCAGCAATTAAACTGATCTCTTCTCACTCATCTCTTACTTTTAAAATTCTTGGACAAACTTTCTTGTTAGAAAAATGAACACAGAGGATGTGAGAATATATGATATTTATTGGCTATATATATCTGCTCCACTAGAGGGAATTTTTGCACTGTTTCCAAAAGAGTTTTGCCACATGAAGATGAATAATTAAAGATCTACATTGGAAAAGATGGATTTTATGATGAGAAATGCCTTTTAGGAATGCTCATTCAAATATTTCTGTTTCTCAAATCCACATCTAGCTGCTGGGTTGGACCTCTTTCAAGGGGACATCCTCCTGCGGGTGAGTACCTGCCGTGGCGCAAGGCGGTCCCTCAGGGCTGAGGGTCCCGTACTGCGCGCCTTCGCTCCGTGAGCCCCGGGACGGGCGCAGTGGGCAGTGAAAGAAGCTGACCTATAATCTGTACCCACAAGGACTTCCACTGTGGTCGGTGGGGACAAAAACAGATAAAAAAAGATAGCAAACATCACAAAAGAGTCTATAATTATTAAAATTGCTTTGTCCACCCAATTTTCCTAATCAGTGAAGAACAAGAGAGAAGAAAATGCACTGATATATTTAAACTGGCATTTCACTTTTGGGGCAATTGCAGGTCTCCTTTTTTTTCTTAATAATTTCTCTGAATTTTCTAAATTGTCTGTAATGAGGCATCACTTTTAGAATCAGAAGACAAGTGCCACTAAATTATTGACTTACGTGACAGATTATTTGTGGTGTGAGAGTTTAGTGAAGGAGGAGCCCTGGAGGACGAGGCTTCCCAGTGATTCTTGCCTTTGTTTGTTCACAGAACTCCAGGAATGGCCTGAGAGACCCTGGTGCCAGGTGGAAGTTCCCCATTCCTTATATTCTGGCGGACAATCTGGGTAATACTAATTGTTCTTCATTAGGAGCTTTGGGTTTAACTCTTCTCCCACCCCCTCCTCCTGTTCCTCAGCTTCAGATTGGAAGTAACCAACAATGTTTAGGAGGGTTTCCAAGCCCTGACAATTTATCTCTTGGGATGAAAGGCATGACTTCACATCAGTGCAATGTAGGTCTCAGTGTGAGAGTTTCACTAGTCTGAGACGGAGTATCAAATAATGATTTTGAAAAGGCAGAAGACATTAACATGTTACTAATACCAGAAGCCCTATCAAGAACGAAAACACAATAGAATGAATGAAGAATGAAATACAATTTGGCATCACAGCAATGGAAACTTTGCACTTTAAATAACTGTTTGTTTATGTGAATCTAAATATGGTATAAGGATACTATTTTCAGCATATTGATCTTTCTTTTTGTTTTAAAATCTTCACCTGAAGACATTTTTCTCATTGCTTTTTTAGAGAGAGGAAGGGGGATAGAGAGGGAGAGAGAGATATCAATTGGTTGCCTTCTTATACGGGCTGCGACTGGAGATTAAACCCACATCCTGAGTATGTGCCCTGGCAGGGAATCAAACCCGTGACCTTTCAGTCTGTGGGACAATGCTCTAACTAACTGAGCCACATGAGCCAGAACATATTGATCTTTCCTTTTTGTTACAAGACAAGCGTGACACAGTTTTGAGAAACAGAAGTCAGTTTTCCATAATTCATAGTCTTTGTTTCTCAATATTAATAAATTCTATTCTTTTTTCTCTCTTAGGATAAAAGGCTAAGTTATGTTTTACTCATTGTTGGAAATAAGCAAGTACTAGAAGTCACGTGTGCACACTGGCTGACCTCAGGCAGCTGACTGATATCTGAGCAGCCGTGGTGATGCAATGCCTTTGAGGCCAGGGCCAGACAGAGGAAGATCAGAGGAAAGGGGAAGCCAGGGCAAGCTTGCTCAGTCCTAATGGGCTGCTGGGCTGCTGCCACTCTCAAGAGATGTTACTGTAGTTCAGACTTTTCCATCACTATTATCACTATTGCAGGGCTGCCTGCAATTCCCCCCCTCCCAGAAGAGCTTGATATAAACAAAGGATGCTGTTCTCAGTTGTTTTATGGAAAAGTGAGCTGAGCTGTTTTCCCCGGAATTTGCCAACACAGAGCAAATTCAAAAAGCACTCATATTTATTGGAATGTGATTTAAGAAACAACAACTTTAAAGGTTTTTTTTTCCCTATAACAATTCTCCCTGTTTGTCACACCTGAGCTACCCTCCTCCCATCAAAACATAGACCTGCTTATTGCATTGCCGTTCTGTGACAGGCTCAGCTGCCTTCACCTGGTATTTTATTTGCCCTTCACCATGCCTCTGTGAGGTGTTAGTGTTTCTCAGACTTTAAAGTTAGGGTCTCCTGAGGACCTTATTGAAATGCAGAGTAGGCCCTGGCTGGTGTGTCTTGGTTGGAGCGTCATCCTGTAAACCAAAAGGTCACAGGTTCAGTTCCCAGTCAGGGCACATGCTTAGGTTGCAGATTCCGTCTCTAGTCGGGGCGTCTCTAGTCGGGGCATGTAGGAGAGGCAACCAATTGATGTTTCTCTCCCTCTCTCTCTCCCTCCCTTCCCCTCTTTCTAAAATCAATAAGCATATCCTCAGGTGAGAATGAAAAACAAAACAAAAAAAAATTGCAGAGTAGGTTCAGGTGGGGCCCAAAATTCTGCACGTCTAACACTCCTCTTGTATCTGGCTTCTTTTGTTTAACATGTTTTTATTTTATTTATTTATTTATTTATTTATTTATTTATTTATTTATCTATCTATCTATCTTTATAGCTTACTGTATTTTAATAGCAAACTTACCAGGACAGCACAGAAGACAGACATCATTAAAAACATTTACTTGCATGTAGGACAACTCAGTTAGAAAAGTACAGTGAATGTATGGAATTCACTGTGTGATAAAAATGCTACAAATACCATTTAGTTGCCATCAATAAGAAACTGACTTGTTTTCAAAAAATTCAAATGTTGGCATTGTCCAGAAAAATGAACAGATTTATTTATATTGTTAATAAAGTTGAACTGCTGAAACTTGTTCACTGAAACATTTTGATTTGCATTAATGCTTTATGTCCCCACATTTATATTTTAAAAATTCACACACAAATGCAAATGGAAAAATGGCCAATACCTGGTTTCTGTCCCCTATTTTCCACTCGTAATTATATACTTAGCTACCTTTTGACCCCATGAGGAAAATATCTAATATTCAGAACTACCAAAAACAGGAAGAAGAGAATGTTTTTTAAAGAATGAAATGATTCCCATCGTAGTGGATTCTTAAGCATGTTCTCCACGTATGCAGCATGCTAGCTGGATGCCCTTTAGCATAATTGTTATGCATTTGGCATGGAGAGCACATAGGTTGGTGTCTTCAAGAAACCCAACCAGATAAGCTTCCATTGCCTCCTGCAAAGCACCAATAGCTGCACTCTCGAAGTGCAGATCTGTTTTGAAGTCCTCAGCAATTTCTCACACCAAACTCTGGAAGGAAAGTCTGTAAATCAGAACTTCAGTGGACTACTGATAACATCTGGTTTCACGAAGTGCCATAGTACCAGGGTTTCTTCACCCCTCCAGTAGAGGGCACACTCTTGTGAGTGGCTTTGGTAGCCAGTTGCATCCTCAGTGCTTTACCACCACCAGTTGATTTTGGGGCAGCCTGCTTTGTATAAGCCATAGTGTAGAGACCTCTTTACTTAACCCCATTCTTCAGCTGGAGCTCGTTGAGCTAGAGGAGGTGCTGGCATTAGAGAAGATGGCAGCTGTGAACACAGTTCACTTAACATGTTTTTATAAGTACCGTGTGCTAACCAGTTATGCCACTGAAGCTCCATGCTTAACATGTTTTTGGTTTTTCCATATTGTTGTGGATCAGTAGTCAATTCTTTTTTACTACTCAGTAATATTCCTTTGTATACTTTATTGTAACTATCCATTTTGGGGGAATATGGGCCCCTCCTATGGACTGTCCTATGAGACTGAGAGTTTATCTTGCCACCGCAACCCCCACAGATTTTTATAGCCGGAGGTTTTGAGGCTTTATTTCTTGATGCCGGAATCCTGTGTTGCACCATCTGTCTCGCTTCCCAGTTGTTCCTCCTGCTTTATCTGCACATAAATGTGTGACTGCCTGGTCCTCCAGCCACCTCCTCACCCTCCCAGTTCGCCAGCCACCTCCTTACCTCATGTCCTCTCTGCCCCAGCTGCTGGTCTCTACCCCTGTTATCAGTCTGGATGAATGTTTCTTTAACTACTCACTTGTCAGACTTCCATACAGTTCAATTTTCTAGCAGTTCTGGTTGTTTTTATTTTTAAATTGGATGTCGTCCTTTTTTTGGTTGTTTGAGGAAGTGAAGTGTATCTGCCTACATCTCCATCTTGGCTGAAAGTCTGAAAACAGCGTCACTGTGATTTTAATCTGCATTTTTTTTGCTTTTTATAAGAACAAATTTTTGACTTATTAATTTTCTCTTGTTCATCTACTTTCTATTTTGTTGCTTTCTGCTCTTATCTTTATTATTTCCTTTGTTCTACTTATATCAGGTATACTTTGCACTTTTTATATTTAAGGTGAAAATTTATATCATTGGTTTTAAATATTTTTAAAATATAATATAATGCTATAATATGACATCTATAGCTATAAATTTTATTTGAAGCTCTGGTTTTACTGCTTTCCACAAATTTTGATATGTTGTATCTTTATTAAAGTTTATTTTAGATATTTTCTAATTTTTTATGATTTTTAAAAACTCCATGGGTTAATTAGAAGTATGTTTTTAAATTTCCAAATAGTCAAGGCTCTTCTAGATAGTCTATTACTGATTTCAAGTTTTTGTTGAGGTTGGAGAACATATTTTGTAAGAGTGTAATCTTTTGAAATTTATTGGGACTTGTTTTGTGGTTTAACTTATGGTTTTTCTTGGTAAATGTTGTGTATGCACTTGAAACAACTTGTATTCTACAGTTTGGGAGCTTACTATTCTATCAGTGTTAAATAGGTCAAGATGATTGTGCTGATTATATATTAGACACTGCAAATATTACATTTGAGAAATTCTGGATTCTGTTATTCTCCTCTGAATAGTGTTATTTTTTTTGTTAGAGCAGTTAAATTACTGACTGATCATCTTGGATTTGTCCAGATTTTGTTTTGATTTTGATCTGATTTAGTTCAAAGCAAAGCCCTTCATCTTTACTTTTAAAATATCATGATCTCTCTGGAGTTTCAAAGGAACGCCCAATAGTTTTCTCAGCCCCTCTAACTGGCATGACTCAAACTTCAGATTCTCTCTCCACAATGGTGGGAAGCCTTCTGTCTGCTACTTTTCACTAAGCTCCTTGGAGACTTCCTGCATTCATGCAAACTTCATGGGTCAAAGACGGGAGAGGTATTTGTGGACAGACATTAGAGCAACCAGCCCCCTTTCTTACCAGTCAGTCATGGCTGTTTTCCTCCCCAGAATTTCCTCCCTTGATTTTCAGCCACTCAGGCAATCCCAACCCTTCCTTGTTGTAGATATATCAAGAAAACACAAGTGCAAATTTATGCTCAAGTTCTCTCTCTTGCACTGAGAGAATTGCAATGTGCCCTCATGCACCAAACTGTATAAATGTGACTGTTAACCGACGATATTTTCTCCTTGTAAGAATAAACTCTCTCTGCTACAGTTTCTACCTTTTTTAGTCATTTTATAGTACAAATAGTTTTTTCTTAAATTTTCCCCAAAGTTTAAAATTGTTATTTGTGAGATTTGAGCTCCTCCACCATTACCAGATTAGAGATTCTCTCAAAGGATTCTTAAACTGAAAAGAGTTAGCCTTCTCATACTCCTCCTCTAGTGTCTAAGTTAACTCTTTTTCTCATATTATTTGACCCAGGGTTAAGGAGCACTAGGGGTTTTTATTTCTATTTTTAAAAAGACTTTATTTATTTATTTTTAGAGTGAGAAGAAGAGAAGGATAAAGAGAGGGAAATAAACATTTAAACATTGATTGTTGCCTCTTGTACACACCCCATCCAATACTGACCCCACAACCCAGGCTTGTGCCCTGACTGGGAATTGAACTGGTGGCCTTTCATTTTGCACGCCCAACCAAATGAACCAGCAGTGGATTTTACAGTTAACATGATTATTCAGGACATAACTATGTAAAACTTACTATTTGCTGGCAATGTGAAGAACTGAGAACCAGGAATACGATGAAGCAAAAGATAAGTTCCTTCCTCCGAGGGAGCGAACGGTGTGCTAAGTGCAGCAGACCACCTGCATGAAGACAGTACACAGAGCATCCAGTGTGGCTTTCGGTGGAGGCATGCTCAGTCGGAGCTGGCTCCTTAGTGAAGCAGGCGGCTTCAAGTGGGGGTCCTTTCCACTTCTTCTTCTTCTTTTTTTTTTTTTGAATGATGTTGGGACAGTTTTTACCAAATTGCTGCAGACTTGTTAGTTCTCTTCTGACAACTTATTCAGGGGTGGGAGGTCAGGAATGGTGTGATTTCGCAATTAACCACTCTCAGCATTCCCACTATTTGGCTTTAGGATAACAAAGGCAACATAACCATAGACGGCATTAATTTAATAAAATCAAACTTTTTCCTTACACTTTTACAAGTACCAAGCTTTGTTGGGTACATATCTTCATCTTATAGATGCCAGTAAGAAGTGAGAAAGAATAGGTAAAATAAATCAGCCAGTAAGTTTAATGCATGTTCTTGTTCTTGTTATCTGTGCTGTTTCCACAATTAATTTACTGATTATTCCAATGACTATGTCTTTACTAACTTTGATATGGTCTTATGTCATTTGAACTGTAGAATCTCCAGCTTATTTATTAAATGAAATTGAGGGCCAGGATAATATGAGAAAAGTACTTGGCAAACTACCAAGAAGTATAAGCTTTATGAGAGAATGCACAAAACCAAATAGGCAAGCAATGTAATTTAATTTTATATAACTTAGTTTTATATATTTATTTTTATCTTTTTTAACTCCTCACCCAAGGATATGTTTTAATACACACACATCGAAGTGAGAGAGAAACATCTATTGGTTGACTCCCATATATGCTCTGACCAGGGATCAAACCTGCAACATAAGCATGTGCCTTGGCTGGGAATTGAACCCATGACTTTTGGTGTATAGGAAAACGCACCAACAAATTGAGCCACTGGTTGAGGGCACTTAGCTCTATTTTTAACTTAGAGACATACCTTCCATGAGTTGAAGAGAGAGAAAAACCACACACACCAAGTCAAACATAGTCTCCATTCCTCTGGAGCATCTTTGTTCCCAGCCCCATCCTTGTCTTACACAACACCGAAGTGTGAGCATGTCAAGTGAAAGCAAAGGCATTTGATCTTTGGTCTTTGGTGTGCACAGGTTATTGGTAGGCTTCTGTTGTTCTTGCCCCATCAGGTCCATCAGGCTTCTGCTGCTTATGTTCCAAACCTGGGTTACAGCAATCTTTCCTAAGGCTGCTCGAAGTGCTACTTGTCTAGCTTTGCCATCTCCCCAGGGAACTTTCAGGGAAGCAGGGTAATATACCCTAAGCACTTATGCTCTCTGAACCCACAAACCTCTCTACACTCTGCTCTCACTCTGTAAGAGGGGGTGTCTATTTGGACTGGCTAAGGAGCAACATTATCATTGCTTCTCTCCTGAGGCAGTGAACCCAGAATCTCTGCTTGAATGCGAAAAGAAAAAGGAAAGTGGAGAAGTTATTTTCTGGTTTGGTTTAACTACATACATAAACATACATGTGTTCCTATTTTATAGTTATATTTACATCATGTATTTCAAGTATGCCCTTGATATTTATGCTCATAACTAATTTTTCAGTTTTAGTTTTTAAGGAATCTATTTAAGGAAAAAATCCATAATGAACCTCTGTGGATTTTATGTGTTGGCACAGTTTTCTCAAAACCATGTATATACATTTTCCAAGATAATCAGTAATGCTCATTGATATTTTTACCAATTTCCACAGAACTGAATGCCAAAGGAGCCATTCTCTATGCCTTTGAAATGTTTCGCCTCAAGTCCTGTGTGGATTTCAAACCCTATGAAGGAGAGAGCTCATACATCATCTTTCAGCAGTTTAATGGGTTAGTATGAAATTTAACAGAGTGAAAATCATGCATCTTTTGGTTTCTAAAAAGTGACATATCTTTTTCAAAGGCAAAAGGAAGAAATTGGAAAGAAACTAAAATCCAATTCACATCTTTTATTGTGAATTTTTAAATTAAACAACATTTTCAATATATTATGCAGAAAATGAGCTCTTTGGCTACCTCTGGGCTTGCGGGAGATTTATCTCCACTTTTTTCTTAGGCTTGGGTCATATTTTAAGTCAGTGGCCCTGGCTGTGTAGCTCAGCTACTTAGAGTGTTGTCTTAATAGCCCAAGGTTGCAGGTTCAATCCCTGCTCAAGGCACATACAAAAAGCAACCAATGAGTGCATGAATAAGTGAAACAACAAGTCAATGTTTCTCTCTCTCTCTCTCCCCCGTCCCTTTCTAAAAATCAATACATTTTTAAAAGCTGTAATATTATTCTTTGGAATACGCTATGGATTTGTGGAGGTGAGGAAGAATGCTCATTTCTACTTCTTTCTACCTGATGCATTATTATAATTAATTTGACACTTTTTAATGGCCAATCATTTTTTTGAGTTTTTTTTATTATTGTTCTATTACAGTTGTTCTAATTTTCCCCCTTTGCTCTCCTCTACCAGTTCCACCACCTACCTGCTCCCACAGTCAATCCCCACACTGTCGCCCATGTCCATGGGTCATTCATATATGTTTTTTGACTAGTCCCTTCCCCTTCTTTCCATCATTATCTCCCCCTCCCCTTTGGTCGCTGTTAGTCTGTTCCATGTTTCCATGTCTCTGGTTCTATTTTGCTCATTAGTTTATTTTGTTTATTGGATTTCTTTTATAAGTGAGATTATATGGTATTTGTCTTTCACTGACTGGCTGATTTCACTTAGCATAATGCTCTCCAGTTCCATCCATACTGTTGCAGAAGGTAAGAGAGTGTTCCTTCTTTCTGCTGTGTAGTATTCCATTGTGTAAATGTACCATAGTTTTTCGATCCACTCATGTACTGATGGGCACTTAGCCTCAGCAATCTTGAGAAAGAAGAATAAAATTGAAAGAATCACAATGCCTGATATAAAACTACACTAGAAGGCCACTGTACTGGTACTGGCATCAGAACAGACACAGAGATCAATGGAACAGAATGGAGAGCCAAAAATAAACCCATGTCTCTATGGTCAATTAATATTTGACAAAGGGGGAAGGAGCATACAATAGAATAAAATTAATCTCTTCAATAAATGGTGTTGGAAAAACTGGACTGATACGTGCAAAAAAAAAAGAAAGAAATTAGATCACCAACTTACACCACACACCAGAATAAACTCAAAATGGATAAAAGACTTAACCATAAGCTGTGACACCGTGTAAGTCCTAGAGGAAAACATAGGCAGTAAAGTTTCAGATATCCCATGTAGCAATATTTTTACTGGTATATCGCCTGGAGCAAGGGAAATAAAGGAAAAGATAAAGAAATGGACCGTCATTTTTAAAGACTGCATAACATCCCTGCAGGAAATGATTCTTATTTAACCAGTCTCTTATCATCAAACCATCAGCATATGAGAATACTATTGATAACGTCTTCTCAAAATTAAACCTAACCTCCTTCTAATTTGTGTTCTGAAATCCTATGAATTAGTCACCTAAGCATTATCTAGAAGACAATTTTCCTCTTCCCTTTGAAGGTGCTGGTCTGAGGTCGGTGACCAACACGTGGGACAGAACCTTTCCATTGGCCAGAGGTGTGACTACAAGGCCATCATTGAACATGAGATCCTTCATGCTTTGGGATTCTACCATGAGCAGTCCAGGTCTGACCGGGATGATTATGTGAAAATCTGGTGGGATGAAATTCTTCCAGGTGCGTACTAACCCAAGGTGGATGGTGGAATGTGCTGTTACCTTTATCACTTGCTGAGACCAACCCTGGGATGACCGGGCCAAATCTGGGTGTGGGCACATGCTTCAGATTCTCCAGCAGGAACACAAAGTATAAGGAGAGCATGATTTATTGGCCTGTCCATGGACTGCACTGATCTGATCATCTCTGATCCCACACATGGGTCTCTGGGAATGGTGTACATTGGATAACTTTAAGTAGGATTATTGAAATTCAGTCAGAAGACTTTGCTTAGTTTCAGTGTTTTCATTGAAAATCTATCTAAACTGCTGTCTATTTGCCTGTCTTGGTGAGTAAAGTGAATCAGGTCTTTGAGGATGCTTGGGTCATTTTTCAGGATATGAAATTTCATATACTGTGGGAACCTACAGAAGGTTTAGTTGAATATGATGACCCTAAGACAGACTCAAGAATTTTTTTAATGCTTAACAAATCAATGATAGGTGTTTAAAAACAAAACAAAACAACAGCAAAAGTGAATACTTTTTTCTGAAATTGCACCCCCAATCTTGTTAATTCTGGCTCTCAGTCTGAGTGCTGGTTAATCAAAACTTACTGGTCTTCCCCTTCTCCTTTCTAAGGACCACTCTTCTTCTGACCTAGCCCACACCATACACAGGATAACGGTGTTTTATCTCAATATTGCCATGCAGTTATTATTCTAACAATTTCAATGTTCTTTAATTTTGTTAGACTTCTTTGGACACTACCTTCCTTAATTGTTTGGGACAACTAAGTAGAGTGTTTTTAAGTAAGCTAAAACATAATTTATTGAACAGTTTCCCAATGTACCGGGAAAAAGAGTCAATGCTGTTTCTGAAAACACCAATTTTAAATTAGGAATTAGATCAGGGAGTGGGAAATCATTATTTTTTGCAGTGATAGATTAATGAAACTTTAATGTTTTAGAAGTATCTTAACTACACCACACATGGTTTTTATGAAGCTGATAATGCCTTGTAATTATTTATTTTTTAGATCCAGTTTCATATATGAGTTCATACATTGAAGTGAATCTTTAATAATTTTTCTTTAAGAGACTTAGAAGAACTGGTCATACTTTAAAATTAAATATGAATTCCCCAAAACTTTGGCCAGAACTAGCTCATTTTGGTGCAAGGCAGACCAGTGGTTCTTACATGAGGTCAGGAGAGGATGGCTGATCATATCAAAGTTACCTGTGGGGTTTCTGACTCTGTGTGCTTCCCAGTGCCTCTTATCCTAAAACTCTCATGCCTGTGGAGTGTGGTGGAAGGCTAGAAATAGGTATGGTTTGTGAACATCTAATACATTCCCAGAATTGGACTTTCTGCACTTTCACCCATCCTACCACCCAACCCCTGAGCAAGAAGCCAGGTGGTATTCTTCCCTGTCTGCCAGTTCAATCTAGAGAAGTATTAGAGAGTATTCACCCAGATATGAAATAGCAGATAAAATTTAATATATTTGTCTCTCAGAGTAATTGCACTAAAACTGGTTCTGCGTGGAGGGGAAAGGGCCACACCTCTGCGTGTGAGACTCAGGGGACTGTTAGACTTGCCTACATTTGCCCAGAGGCCTGAATTTTTTCCCTTCCTGTACATGTACTTTGACTCGCTGAAAAATATGTGAGGAAGCAGAAAACATTCCCACTTTTAAGTCTTGAGAACACAATACTTTGCACTTTCAAGATGGCTTTAGGCCAAACAAGGTCCCATTTGTCAGAGGGAGCTGCCACGTTGGCCAGGTTACTCAGCACATGTGTGCTCACCTCCGTCTCTGTCAACAGGTGCAATTCTATATATTGAAATTGCCTGCAATTACTGAAGAACTGTTCTCAAATGACACATCACATCCAACAGGATCATAAGCAAGGGCAGTATTATTGTTCAGGGTAGTTTATGAGTTTTATTACATCTCATCTTCAGTTGATGACACTTCTCATCTAACCTAAGAACTCACTGCCCTGTGATGCAGTTCTCGCTCCAGATCCATCTCCGTTTCCTAAGTCAGAATCATGTTTTCTGGATCTGTTCTCTTCCACTAAGGAAAAAAAAAACCTTTTGAGGTCTACTAGGAATTTGCCAACTACAGCCAGCAGGCCACGCCCACTGGCTTCAGTAAATCAAATTTTACAGGAACAAACTCACACCCTTTTGTATTGCCTGTGGCCGCTCGTGTGCAACAACGGCAGAGTTGTGACAGGGACCCTATGGCTTGCAAAACAAAAAAACGTTTTCTACCTGACCCTTTACACAAAAGATTTGCTGACCAACCTCTGATCACTCCCTCTTCCAAGCTGCCCGCTGTGAGTGTGCTGAGGGCAGGACCGTGCTTGTCCCCTTCACTGCCAGGGGCCACCACCTAGGGCTCGCTCCCCACAGATAAGGGGCACGACAAGATGTGTTAAATTAAAATTTTAAATTACTCAAAACATTTATTTGGTAAAGCAGTCTGGTAAGAATCCTTGCATAATAAAGAATAAAAAGATCTATTCTAACCAGATGATTTTATTGAAAGTTAAGGAAAACATACCCCGTGAGTCGAAAGTGCCTTGCTAAGGTGCCACCAAAGATCACCAGGAGATCCCAGACCCAGTCCGCCGTCCCCACACGATGCTGATGCCTCTACCTTTCCACCCCCTCAGCCGACATCTGGACTCAGTGCTCTGGAAGGAGTTACTTTCCCCCTTCCCTGTTTGGATCCTTTATTTCTTGTAGTCCTGTCTCCCTGTTAAAAATGCCTTGATCCCTCTAAATCCCCATGAGTTAGGAGGATTAAACATCAGTATTCTTGTTTTATAGTTAAAAGGTCTTGGTCAAAGGGTTCATTGGCTTTTCTGAGAACGTTTGGAGATTCCCTTTAGCACCTGCTGGGCCACCCACCAGGTGGTGCCACACTTCCTCAATCCTATGTGTACCTGTGTGGAGGTCTTTGAAAGACAATTATATTTTCTTCTCTAATTGTTTAAAGCACCTGGATGGCAAGCAACAAAAGGAGAATGAAGATGAAAAGCTACAAGCATTTTCATTCTGTTTTTCTATCACTCCCTAAGAAGGAAATTAAAAATCTGCAGCTGAAACAATAAATTTCTGATGGCTAGTGGATTAAAACAACATCTAATTGGTTTCTCATTTCAGCATTTTATATTGCAGAACATATAATATTGCTTGGGCTCACCTCATAAAAAGATTTTCCTTTCCTATTTTGAAAGAAATCCAATTTTCTTTTTCCTATTTTACTGTATTTTTCAGACTATAAGACACACTCTTTTACCGCATTTTTTGCTTCAAAAATTTTTTCCCTGTTTTCCTCCTCTGAAACCTAGGTGTGTCTTATGGTCTGAAATATAGACGCACCTAGGTTTTAGAGGAGAAAATAGGGGAAAATTTTTCGAAGCAAAAAAAATGTGGTAAAAAATGCGTCTTATAGTCTGAAAAATATGGTATGTTTCTTTCTGGAACAGAAGGATGTGAGCTCTGATGGAAAGGATGTCCCTTTCTTGACAGCTGTTTACCTTTCCCCCTGACCTTGGACTTCCTTTTCCCAATCTGTGGGAGAGCTGGCCAGGTGCAACTTTTTGGGTAGTTGGCTATAGCAAGATGTATCAATCTGAATATTTTTCTGAATTCAGAAATTCTGCTTTTTGCCATTTGGAATACCTGCCTCCACTTTGATATTTTATCTTCTCTTTCTTAAACCCTTATACATATATATATATACATATATACATATACATTTATTTATTTATGAAAAGAACCTTTGATTTAAATATATACATGTATTTAAAAATTTAGAAGTGCACATTAATTATAATAATATGTGTATTAATTATGCATTTAATAGTCATTATTATATTTGCATGCTATTATATAATATATGGTTATCAGTTAATACTAATTAATAATATTATTAATTTTATATTGCAATGCTAATTATTATAACAATTAGCATTGCAATATAAAATTGGTATATATAATTTATATATTATGTTTGTATATTATATATAAATATATATAAGTATATATATTTTCTATATATAAAAAATTTCCCTTTTGTTCTTGGTCTCTGGTTGAGTATCTAGTCAAAGAGGGTAGGACTACAAAATAATAGGACCAAATAGGACCTGTGGATTGTCTCACCAACAGGTTACAAGCACAACTTTAACACTTATGATGACAACCTAATCACAGACCTCAACACACCCTATGATTATGAGTCTCTGATGCACTATGAGCCTTTCTCATTTAACAAGAATGCAAGTTTCCCAACCATCACAGCCAAGATCCCCGAGTTTAACTCCATCATTGGGCAGCGCCTGGATTTCAGTGCCATCGATTTGGAGAGGCTGAACCGAATGTACAATTGCAGTGAGTACATCTGGGGCTGAGACTAGGTCAATTAGCCCCAACAGAGATTCCCTGGCCCTACAGGTTTCTTATACATTTTTCTTTACTCTTCTTTTGTGTTCTAGTTAAAGAAGATGGACAAGCTACATAAATATAACACCTATATCACAAGATGGTTTAGACAATCAGTTATGTGATTGTGTTTTGTACAGTGAAAGTTTTGGAGCAATTTAAGGAGCTGTAGTTGTTCAACTTCTTCAGCTTCCTTTTGAAGGTTGCATCATTATGTAGAGTTCAACACAGATAGTAAGCTTGAAAATGTTTTGTATCCTGCAAAATTCTTTGCATGGGACAGTTGTTCTTAGAGTAATCTAAGGCTCAGAGATGGGATACTTTCTAAAATGACCCCACTAGTCTTCAGAGACACGTTCTTTCATTGTCTTCCACATGTACATAGAGAGGATCTACTAAATAGAAAGGCCAGTGTTGTAGGTACCTTGTTCTTGATCTCAAGGAGTTTGGGTGGCATTTATAGAAAAACATGATGAGAAGCCTTTTTATTATTGAACTCTGGCTCTGTGGTAGGTAGAAGTGCATGTATTTTGGCACGTTCTAAGATCTTATGGGTGACAGTAGAGTTCACATTCAAGAAAAAGTCGAGAAAATGAGAGGCCTGTGTTCTAGCTCATGAAGTCTTCATTGCCTAAGACATTAGATATTTGGAATGAGATGCCTTTAATTTTTAACCAGGTGACAAAAATGTTGTTTGCAGCCACAACTCACACCCTTTTGGACCACTGTGCTTTTGAAAAGGCAAACATCTGTGGGATGATTCAGGGTACCAGAGACGATGCTGACTGGGTCCGTGAGGACAGCACTCAGCCTGGACAAGCGGATCATACCTTGGTGGGACAATGCACAGGTGAGTGATGGCAGAGAATAAACACCTGAGGTGGTTCATCAGGTTCAGTTGGTGCTGGAAACCTGCATGTTTTGCCTCAGTTGGAATGTTACTTATCAAACTTAGAATTCTAAACATGGACAAAGAACACTTATCTTTATCGTGAACTCAATAAAAAGCACTGAGGTCCTGGGCATGCAAAAGGAAAATGCATTTATGTGATGACAAAACTGATATGGTTGATAAAACATGACTTTGTAAATGTAAATAAAGCTAATATCTCTAAAAGCAGTGTCTTCCAATAGAACTCTAATGTAAGCCACATATATAATGTAAAATTTTCTAATAGTCACATTAAAAAGCAAGGGAAAGTCTCTTAATAGTATATTTTATTTAATCCAATATATCTAAGATATTAACATTTCAATGTATAATCATTATAAAAATTATTGCTGATTGACTCCACAGTTTTTCATATGAGATATTTAAAATCTACTGTGTAATTTACCCTTACAGCACATCTCAGTTTGGACTGGCCACAGTTCAAGTGCTATATAGCCACATGCATTTGTAGACACTGTATTGGATAGCATGACTTCAGACAGTTCCTATATATGGTTTGTGTGTGAAAAAGCTGTAAAGTCAGCAAAGAATTATATTTCATAAATTAAAACAATTAAGAAACACCAGGGTACTAAGAGAATCCCTCCCTCCTCAACTATATTAAAGGATATAATATTACAGGTGAAAGAAGGGGAAGGGTCAAGTCAAGGAACATGCATAAAAGATCCGTGGACAAAGATAATGAGGAAAAGGATTGAATGTGGGAGATGGGGAGTGGGCAGGGCAGGGGAGAGTAATGGGAGAAAGTGGGGACAACTGTAATTGAACAACAATAAATAATTTTTTAAAAAAAGCTGAAAAGTCAAATAGACCTGGGTGTGAAATCTGGCTCTACCACTTCTTCATTGTGCCCACAAGAAGTCGTTTTTGTTTTTTAAGTCTTTGTTTTTGTAAGTCTTTTGGCCCATCGACATGTTGGTACTTCACAGTGAGGACAGAAGAAGATAATGCAGAATCTCCAGCTGCAGCCAGCAGCTTCACTCCCTATTTTCCCCCAGTCCTTTCCCCTCCAGGGGTTGGATGGATATATATATATATATATATATATATATATATATATATATCCTATTCTAGCATCCTTTTATTAAATGCTGGTCATTGAAGTCATCTCAACCTTATTTGGAAGCAGGTGGAGTTACAAATTGTAATAGCTTTATAAGGACTGGAGTATATTAAAGTCCCTTAGTCCACGCCTGCGTGAGAGTTGGTTAGATTTCCTTCAGAAAAGGGACCCAGCTTGTCACCCAGACTCCATGCCACTGGGGAGAATGTCAGAAGTTGTAAGTCACCACCACCCTTCCTCTGGCCTTGGTAAAGGGTGAAAGTCTGTCACACATCAGATTATCACCCATATGATATCAAGTACTCAAAGGGTTATCTAAGCCCAAAACTCTCATTAAATTTTCATCCTGGACTCTAATCCAATCTCTCCTCTGGGCTAGCTGCCACACTAATACACAATTTTCAGATAAAAAGGTGATCTTTGTGTGAGAGGAACATGCTAGAAGAATGTTCTAACACTTGAATAGGAAAGGAAAGGATCAGAGTCCAGAAGTATCTAGGAAGGGTTTATCAGGTTAACTTGACTGGCCATTCTACTTCTTCCACAAGAGACCCTTTATGGGTCCGTGTTCCCTCTGCTAGCAAGCTCTGGCATTGTTCAGGTAGATGCATAGACTCAAAGAGCTTGAAGGGTAGAAGCCATCTCCCATTTCAAGCCCAGAAAAATTAATGAACACCTAGTTAGTGGCAGAGCCAGGGTGAGAATTCAGGTCACCAGACTGCCAGGCCTGAGTTACTGGACTTTTGGCTCACATTTCTGAGTATCCCTGGGAAGAATTCCTAAGCAAGGACATCCTGAAGACCTTCTTAGCTGTGTGAGTTCTTGTTTTCCTCAGTGTAAGCACTCTAATTCATAATGCAGAGGTCTCAGCCTAGTAAGTTCAAATATTGAGAAGAACATACAAGAAAATATGACTTTTCCTGGTGTAATTTTAAAGTCATTACAACATTTAAAGCTATGTGGAAAGCTTATTTAAACATCAATGCTCACCGCCAATCTGAAAGGCACACACCCGATGGGGGAGGCAGGATGAAGCAGGAGCCCTGCTGCCTCGATAGCTAGAACTGTTGTAGGTGCTCCCTTCATTTTCACTTTGTGGAATGCTTTGAGTGGACCATTTGGTAAGAGGTTGAATTCTGGAGTACAGTTTAAATGACTTCTTAATATGCAAGAATTGCTCATTGTGCTTGACTTTGAAAAGTGTGTTGGTTTTTAAGTGACATATTCATTATGTCAGCAGCTTGCTCATTTGTGGGGTGAAAGTTCTGAGATATCTAACTTGGGCAAACTCCAGTTCTGGCACAAATGTAGGCACTTTCCCTTTTCTTTTTCGGAGCTCTTTCAAAGCTTTTTTTTATCCTTACCTGAGGACATTTTTTCTTTGCTTTTAAAGAGAAAGGAAGGTTGGGGGACAGAGAGAGAAACAGCAATGTGAAAGAGAGAGAGAGAGACATCAGTGGACTGTCTCCCTTAAACTCCCACTGGGGATCTCAAACCACAACCTAGGTATGTGCCCTGACTGGGAATTGAACCTGCAAATTTCTGGTGTATATGATAATGCTTCAACTAATTGAGCCACCTGGCCAGGGTTCAAAGCGTTCTTTACATACAAAAGAAATCCTCAATTAATTCCTAATATGGTTTGATGCCCCATCTTATGATTCTTTACCACTGCTAATGTGCCCAGCTATTAGGCTAGACACAGGTGAAATTGAATGCTTAATAAAGTGAATATTGAAAACTCTAAACCTTTGAATCCCACTGTTTCTTATACAACTAGGAGACCAGCTCTTATCCTTGGAATGAGTCTCTGATTTAAACAGTGAAGTCAATGAGGAAAATAGAATTCCTCTCATAGGCATTAAATTCCATCAAACTTTTTTTAAAGCCTCTATTTCCTGAAGTTGGAGATCTATGTTTCACCAACTTGGGGTCTAAGTCAATCGAAAGAAGCAGTGGAGAGCTGTGGCCCCAGCCAGTGAGTCTGTTCATGGAGACAAATGCAATACATCCTGACACACAACCTCCTTTTGGTTTTTCCCTAAAAGAGTTCTAGATTGTGTTGCCTGGATAGTGGCTATTGTTCACTATTTCCCTTGGCAAAGGTAAAGGGCACCCTGCGGTGCCAGAGATGGGACATCCGTGCTCTCTCCATAGGTGCCGGCTACTTCATGTTCTTCAACACCAGCTCGGGGCTGGCAGAAGAGGCAGCCTTGCTGGAGTCTCGGATTCTTTACCCAAAGAGGAAGCAGCAGTGTCTGCAGTTTTTCTACAAGATGACAGGAAGCCCTTCAGACAGACTTGTCATCTGGGTCCGGAGGGATGATGGCACGGGCAACGTTCGCAAGCTGGTCAAGGTGGAGACCTTCCAAGGTACCTGGAGGCATTCACACAAGGACTGATTTGGCTTAAAATCTGGGATCATGAATCTTTTTTTCTTTTCCCTTCTCTCCCTCTTCCCTCTTCACCCTTCCTCCCTTCTCTTTATTTCTTTTCCTCCTTCGCTTTCTTTCCTTCTTCCCTTTTCCTCCACATCCCTCTTTCTAAACGTTTAGCATAATATCTAGCATGTTTGAACCATGCAATGAATGTTTTAACCACTCACAAATTAAAAGCAGTAACCAGAGGTTAGGTGAAGCTGAAATACACTTTTGTAAGAGGCCAATTAAAATATCTAAGTTCAATTTTCACTAGCACTTTGGAGAAAGCCAGGGCAGAGAACATTGGTGATTGAGGGGTGGAGATTGGAAGGTAAAAGGGAAGTGGAAATGAGGCTGCTGGAGAGGTTGGTTAAATAGTTGACCACTATTTACTATGGTTAAATATGTGTTTAGCCATATCAAATGTGTTTAAATATGTGTTTTTGCATCTGTTTCAGAAAACTGGATGATACCATTGTTTAATATGCTGAAGTAACTTGAGCTTACTTGTGAATTTGATGAGAAATAAGCCATTTGTATATATTAATTTCATTATAACATTTACATATTACTAAGTGATACTCTATGTATCTTATGAGAGGGTCAGCATGAAAACCTTAAAATGTCATGGTAGTCAGTTGGATGTGAGGGTAGTCTGGCTATAAAGCCAATACCCAGGGTTATAAAGCCAAGTATTTACATCATTCTATTGTGGTGGTCATTCACTCATTACTAGGGAAAGAAAGACATGCTTTCCTAGTTTTTCATTCAATAAAGAATTTCTCAGAGTGAGTCCAAATAAAGGAAGAATTCTTTGTGTATTTCTAGAAGAAGCTGCTGCTTTTGAAGGGTGGGAGTTTCCTCGGGGCCACTCATAAGAACAGGTGCCCAAATCACCTGTGCTCAGGCCACTCTGGGCTACTTGGGAATTCTACACATAATGGTTTTGAGGGTTTCGCTTTTCTGGCTGAAATTTATAGCGCATCTTCATCAAATGGAGGGATAACAGCCAGGTGCCCTTTAAGGGTTGAGAGTTTGCTATGTTACCGAGGATTGTACATGTTCAATGAGAAAATAAATTTGAGTCTTACTAATATTGGTGGGATCTATTATCCCTCACTTCCATATGAAGCTAAAAGTGTTATCCTCATAAGCATGAAGTCAACCAGCCTTTTGGTGTCTAACTTAGTTTCTTACCCTGCTATGCATTGAATTCTACTGAATTCAGAGTGTGACTGTATAAATTCCCTGGAAGTGTCATCCTAATAGATTTTTAAAGTAGTCCAATCTGATATTGATTTGTCAATGAAACTTCTCTGAAAGTTTGATTGAATATCATTCAGCATTTATGTGGTATGCAACTTAAGATAGTTACAACCATTTTGAATAGCTTTAATTTGTGCAAAATGTGTTTTTTAACCAAAACACTTACCTATAAAATATATCTCTGTATCTATTTCTGTCTCTGTGTTTCTTTGTCTCTCTCTCTCTCTCTCTCTCTCTCTCTCTCTATATATATATATATATATATATGTATGTATGTAATGTTTTTATGCAAATGTACTGCAGAATATGTTATGTTTTTACAAAGACCAATTGTCATTCCCTTATAGATGACAATTCTGAGTTACCAAGGGCGAGAGTTGCCTGTGTCAGCCTTAGCACCGTCTATTGCTGGCCCGATTCATGGCAGCTCTATGGAAGCATCTTAATGAAACATTCTATTATTCTTCTATTCTATCTATTCTAGAGCCTTCCATATGTCCCTGCTCTGGCATCAAGTCACAGGTTGGACCATATGAGATTGCCATTGTGGGAATTTGGGATTACAAAATGACTCTTATGAGGTTCGGCTTAATACTTGGGTATTCCATGCTAAAATGAGGAGTTGAGGGTATATTTATACCATCAAATCCAGAGGGAATCCAGGACCTGTGAAACTGAATGATAATGGAAAAGAATTTTATGATTACTATTTGTATGAGTTTTAGTGTGTCCTTTTATAGCCACTTTCCGTTACTAGATACATGACTTCCTTAACCAGTTTATAACAGTCCCTATCTCATAGAGCTGTTGTGAGGCTTCAGTTAGATAATTCATGTAAAGTAATTGGCACAGTCCCAGGGTCATAGTTGGTGCTCAATAAATGTTGGCCACGGTTGTCACCAATCTTATTATCTGTCCTCAGGAGATATTGACCAAAATTGGAAAATTGCGCATGTGATACTCAGAGAGGAGAAGAAATTTCGCTACCTTTTCCAGGGCACAAAAGGTGACCCCCAGAACTCGAATGGGGGAATTTACCTGGATGACATCACCCTGACAGAAACACCATGCCCCACAGGGGTTTGGACCGTACGGAATTTCTCCCAGGTCCTTCAGAACACGGTTAAAGGGGACACGATCCTGAGCCCTCGATTCTACAATTCAGAGGGATATGGTTTTGGGTTGACCTTATACCCTCATGGTAGAATAAACTCCAACAGCTTAGACTACTTAGGACTCACTTTTCACCTGTGCAGTGGGGAGAATGATGCCATCCTGGAATGGCCAGTGGAAAACAGACAGGCGATAATGACAATACTCGACCAGCAACCTGATGTCAGGAAAAGAATGTCCTCGAGCATGGTGTTCACTACCTCTAAGTCCCAGACATCTTCAGGTAAGTAGCTCTAGGAGTTTCCCCTCTACCTGGAAGGGCTACCATGTGATTCTCATCTGTGTGAGATTAACATTCCTCTCACATTTCCTCCCTGGGCATATTAATGACATAGTCATATTGGAGTATTCAGTTAACATTTTTAATGTCATCTTACCCTCCTTCTCTTTCCTGAATTTCCTCATCAAGTATCTACAAAGGGCTTGCAATGCACCAAACTCTGTGCCAGGTCCTTAGAATACAAACAAATCAGGCAGTTCCTGCTTCATGGAGCTCATTTACCGGATGCTCAAAATTTGCTAAGCTCCATGCAGAACTAATGCACTGCCTCCTAAAATATTTCTGATCATCAGTACATTCATGAAACAAACTTGCATCAATACATAAATGGGCAAACTATTTTTTTGATGAAGAGCCTTAAGGCTTAAAAGAAGAATGTATATCTGCTCCTCCGTCTTCATTGAGGAATTCACTCAATAGTGGACAATTGACCATTCAGAGCTGTTGCTCTCTGCCCTTTCCTCCTTCCAATTCTGAGTTTTACTTCTCCTGGGAAGAGGATATAACCTGAATTTTTTCAACCTTTTAATTTTCTGATCAACAAAGCTTTGTATACCCATTCAAGACAAATTGGAAAGTGAAGTGTAAAGAGATAATGTGATTTTGTTTTACCTATAACCTTGCAGCAATGAATAACTCTGTCATCTGGGACAAGCCATCCATCGTGGGGTCTTATGACCAGAACTGTCAATGTTACAGAACCATTGACTGGGGCTGGAGTTCTGTCATCTCCCACCAAATGCTGAGAAGGAGGAGTTTCCTGAAAAATGATGACCTGATCATTTTTGTGGACTTTGAAGGTACTTTTACTGATCTTCCTGAATAAATAATCTTATCCTCTGGGTGCTCTACTGGTTATATACTGATTTTTAGGCATCTGGTGGAGGGTGGGGAATTTCTTTTTTGAGGACTAGGTTAAAAAAAAAGATGTGTTCTGAAAGAGCCACATTTTACTATTGCAAAAGTACTCCCATCTTTGGTTTAACTGTCTTTGGGAAAAACTAAGATTTCAGTGCCATCTTTTTTGATAACATCAAACAGGACTGTTCACTGACTTCAGTTTAGTTTTAACCAGTCTATCTGTGCTGACTTTATATTCTTTTTTCAAGTTAAATAAAAATGTGATGGGACCTGAAATAAAAATAACTAACATTGTGAGAGTCAGCCAACATATCTTTAAAGCCATTTTCATGTCATTAAAGATAATGTCCATGAGGGGTAGAGGCCACCGAGAGAACTTGCTCCAGGAGTGGAAGTCAGCTGAAGTCAGATACTAATTGTAGATCTTCCTCCTTAGATATCACCCACCTTAACCAGACTGAAGTCCCCATTAAAGACACAAGGCTGTCCCCACAAGGCCTCATTCTCCAAGGCCAGGAGCAGCAGGCCACAGAAGAAGGTTCTGCACAGGCTTTGTTAGAGAAAGCCCTCCCTAGCAGCCAGGGTCAAGGGCAGCCCAGCCGACGGAAGCGGTCAGCAGAGGGCACGGGCCCCATGGAAGACCACAACTGGCCACCATATTTCAGAGATCCGTGTGACCCGAATCCTTGTCAAAACGAAGGCATCTGTGTGAATGTGAAGGGGATGGCGAGCTGCAGGTAGGCTTTGCGGCTGGGGAGGCAGGTCGGGGGTCAGCAGGCGTGAGCTGAGTGCTTATCCTAGTAAAAGGTGTTGTTCTCAGGTTAAGGCCAGGGCTCCATGGTCCACTGGACGTGGCTGTCCTTGACTCCACAAAGCTATGCCCTGAATTGGCAGGTTTATGTTGCCAAAGCAGAGGACTCCCAAATCTCCCATCACTTGAGTTTTTTCACTTTTCTGCCTCTGGGGCATTGTCAACAAACATGAATGCTGATCAGATTTGGAAACTTGACCTCAGTCTCACAAACAATTGGGAGCTTAGCCCAGAGGCTTTCTGCCCAAGACCTGCCATGTGGGACTCAAGATCAAGCCTCATCTTCCCTGACTGCCAACGTTCTTAGTTGTGACATATTATTCCTGTTGTCTATTACTTCTGTTGTCCTATTATTATAGTTATGTTTTTTAGTAATAGCAGTGAGAGTACCTGATTTTTTCAGATTGCTTGCTGTGTGTCATGTGCTGCCTGAGCAATGTGCATGCGTCACCTAAGGTGTTCCTCTTAGTCACCCTGTGACGTGCTGGCCCTAGTTATCTCCACTTAGTGCATAAGGAAGTTGAAATTCGACAGGTTAAGGAATCGGTCTAAAATTACCCAGATGGTAAATACTGATTACCCAGGTCTGTCTGATTGCATGGCCTGCTATATTTAAAATTTCTGTTTCTAATATTCATTATTTGCAATAAAATATTTCATAAAAGGACTTATGTGATGACAGAAGTGTCAGTTTTATTTGACAGAATAGTAGCAGATGTAGGAATCATTCTGCTTGACTCAAGATATCTACAATTCTTCTGAGTTCTCTTTGATTTCCAATTCTTCTATTTTTGACTTTTATTTTGAAATTATTTTAGACTACATATACATTGCAAAAATACTACATCATTCCTCATACTCTAATGTTAATATCTTGTCTTACATAACCAGAGACCAGTTAGCAAAGCCAAGAAATAAATGAACATTAATGAAAATGCAATAAGGACTATTAACAGTAGTATTAACTGAACTCTAGGTATTATTCAGATTTCTCAGTTTTTCCACCAATGTCCTTTTTCTCTTCCAGGGTCCAATTTAGGATCCCACATTACATTTAGTTTTTATGTCTCCTTAGTCTCCTTCATTCTGGGGCAACACTTCTGTCTTTGTTTTTCACAACCTTAACACTTTTGAGGAGTACTGGCCAGTTATTTCATGAATTGCTCCTCAGTCTGGGTTTATCTACTGCTTTCTCATAATGCCATTGAGGTTGTACATTCTGGACAAGAAGAGCAGAGATGAGACGAGCCCTCCTCAGTGTGTCCTGTGAGGGGTACCTGATGTGACTCTGTGTCCTGATGGCGATGCTAACCTTGATCACCAGCCAGAGGGGTGTCCACCAGGCTTCTCTCCAGAAAACTTAAGCATCCCTCACTCTGTAATTTCAGTGTATATCTTGGGAGAGACACCCTGAGACCACGCAGACCTCCTGCTTTTCCTCAAATTCTCACCCACTAATTTCAGCATCCACTGGTGGATCATGCCAGAATAATCACCACTCTTATATTTTAATGGTGATTTTCTATTTTTTCCATTCTCTCACTTATCTACACAATTATTTATTACAATCCTTGAGGAGTCATAAATACTTATTGTATTCTCTGGGCTGTATTTCAATATGCCAGTGTTTATTTTGTTGCTCATATTGTTCCAGCTTTGGCCTTTGCGAGCTCTTCCAGACAGCCTCCTGTGCCCTTTCAACACAAACTCATTCTTTCATGAAAACGATATTACTTTCTGACATCACAGGATGTTCCAGGCTCATCTTTTATATGCACTGCCCAGCTCTGGAATCAATCACTTTCCAAAGAGCTTTTTTTCCCAAAAATTTCCTGTTATTGGAGAGTGCCCACCATGTTTCTTGAGGGCTGTGCAGCCCTGGGACTGCACCTCTTTGTGGGTAGGTCCCCGCTACCAGATTTCCATGTGTGCATGATGGGCTTCATCCCTCTCAGGGTAAAGAAGGCCAAGGGTTTCTACTTGCGTGTCAGCCTCTCATCAACCAAATTATTCCTCCCATAAGACTGCAGCTTGGTGTTTTTGCAAATAAGCTCCTCTAAAGTAATACCAGGAAATACGAGGTCTGTCCAGGAAGATGTTCAATTATTGTTAACATAATAAGAACAGTTTGTGCAACATTGATGTAACCGGGCAGCCAAGGAGAGTGGACTGGAATGCATGTGCATGAGTAACGACGACTTCACTGTGGTAGATGCTGTTGAGTATGTGTACTGTGTGGCTGTCACATTCAAAATTACTGAGTAGAGTGACTAATCTGCATCAAATTTTGTATTAAGTTGAACATTCCTCCTTGAAAACTATTCAGATGATTCAGAAGGCTGCAGCTATGGGCAACTGGTGATCGGGAGCTTCATAAGACAATATGCCCACTCATGCATCATGTCTCTTTTGGTGAAACATCAAATCACTCAGGTGACTCGGCCCCCTACATGCCAGATTTGGTGTCCTGTGACTTCTGGCTTTTCCCAAAACTAAAATCACCTTTGAAAGGGAAGAGATTTCAGACTGACATTGAGATTCAGGAAAATATGATGGAGCAGCTCATGGCAATTAGAACTGTGTGAGGTCCCAAAGTGCTTACTTTGAAGGGGACTAAGGTGTTATTGTCCTTTGTACAATGTTTCTTGTATCTTGCATCTTCTTCAGTGAATGTCCCTATTTTTCATATTACATAGCTGCGTACCTTCTAGACAGACCTCATATAATTGAACTGTATTTGAAGGGGACTAGGCCAAAGAAAAATTGTACAAAGTGGCTATTATTCACTGATTTTTAAGAAGCCAATTCTTAGGCTAGAGATGAGACCTTTAAAGGTGAAACAGTTCCAGGAGTAATAAAGGAGGTCTTAACTTGTGATCATTTCATTCTACTCTGGGGTTGCACTTTGTGTCAGGAATGTTGTTTAACACAAAGACTAGAATTGTTTGAATGGAAGAGATGAAACACTACCCTTAACACTTTGGTTCTGAGATTAGTTAACTTTCATAGCAACATTTTTTAAAAAGAGCACCAAGGAAGGTGTAGCCATTATGTGTCCACTGTGTGCCCAACACCTCACCTTACAGTAACACTTTGATTGATGTCATTTAGAAGTTTTCAAGGTCAAACTAATGCAATGAGACTCTATCTGAAGAACTTCCCCTGTAGCTCACAGTCTGAGCCAGTGTCAGGCAACCTGTTCTTTAACTTCCCCAAACCTTCCTCCTGAACTTTGTGTGTGGGGCGAAGGGTACTGGGTCTGGAGATAGACCTCTGGGATTAGACCTCATGTGCAATTCACTGACCTCATGACCTTGAGCAAGTTATTTTAACCTTTCTGCAAAGTGAGGTTGGGAAGAATGGCCTGGTAATAACTGCCGCCTGAAAGGATTGTTACAAGCTTCGATGCACTGATTCATATAAACCCTTCAAATGGGACCAGGCATGTGGAACCACTCGGTAAGCGTTCATTGCTATTGCTGATGTGTTGGTGCTTGTGGCTGGGAACTGCTGGAGGCTCCGGTGGCTCCCACATGAACCCATGTGTCCTCTTCCCCAGGTGTGTCTCCGATCACACCTTCTTCTACACGGGAGAGCGCTGTCAGGCCATGCAGGTGCATGGCAGCATCCTGGGTCTGATCATCGGAGGCACAGCTGGTGTGATTTTCTTGACCTTCACCATCGTCTCCACCCTTTCCAAAAAGCTGAGGCAGTGACCCGCCTGCTGACACCAGCCAGACTAAAGAAGCTCCTCCTCTACTCACACCTGTTCCTGTGCAGGGCACAGCTTGGGGTTTTGAATAGGACTCCAAGGACCGAGGCCTCCAGCCTCCTGTGTGACCGGTATGGTTTTTCTGTCCCCAACCCTCAGCTGGTCCTGTTACCCTGTGTGCTCTGAATGAATCTAGTGTGTCCTGTGCCGGCATGCACTCCACGTGTTTGTAAATCACTTGTGTAATCGACTCTGTTTCCTGTGGACTGTGAGCTCCACACAGGCAGCCCCACATTTGTCACACCAGCCCCAATGCCTGGAAGCAAGTTGGGCTGGCCCACTGTGGGCTCTCAGTGAAAGTGAATGAATGAACCAATAATTGAATAAATAATTCAGACGTAAACTCTCTCATTTCTCCTGCAGATGAGATATACACAATAATACTCATGTTGTTTGCATCAGAATCAAATACTCATAAGTGTGTTACTACTCTTTTAAGGTATCCTATGTTAAAGAATTTCAAAAAAATTCCTTCTGGAAGCGGGCTTCTCAGAATTTGCTTTCCTCCTCTAATTCTAAAGAAAGGTTTTAACAAATTTAATAAATATTTAGACATTATATTTTATGTGTTCAGCATTGCCTGTGTGGAGGAGGGGTGGGGGAGTTGACCAAAGCTCTTACCTAGATCTTTTACATTTTAAAAGTATATTTTATATGATATTCATGTATAAAATTATTACATTAATAAACTGAAAGTATCAGGTACAGAAAATATTAAAGAACTATTTTCAGATATACTTTGTTTTGGCAGTTAGTAAGGAGGTAAAAGTCTAGCAAGGGCAAGAATGGTCCAGGGTAGCTCCAGTCAAAGGAGGCTGTGGCTCCCGCTCCCACTCGGCCTGAGAGCTGGCTCTGGAAGTTCAGTAAAGAAAATGTTTTAAGGAGCCCAGGCCATCCAGTCATTAGGGTACCAGGTTTCCGAAGTATATATTTTATGGAAATTCTGGAAACAAACAGGACGGGTTCAGAAGAGTCCCTTTAATGCAAAGGTGTGGGAAGAGTTTGTAGCAGGTGCAAACATCACCCATCAGGCACTGACTCCCCAGCCTGGGTGCATCCGAGCCCCGTGGAAGGCTGGTGAGAATACACATAGAGGGCCCCAGCCCCTGGGTTTCCGATTCAGTGGGTCTGGGGTGGGGCCTACGAATTTACATTGCTAACAAGTTCCCAGGTGATGTTGACGCTGCTGGTCTGGGGGCCACACTCAGAACTGCTGCTTTTATGGCTGGAAAGTGGGTGGAAGTCAGGTACTCTGGCTGCAGGCTGGGACTGACCATCTAATAGCTGTGCAGTTTAGTGAAATCACTTAAGCTCTTGGCCTCGGTTTACTAATCTGTCAAGTGGAGTAGGTAATTACTCTCTTATCCCACCTTAACACCTACAGGGTTTCAGAGTGATGAAACAGGTTACTAGGTAAGAACATATTTTAGAGTTACAACTGTATGCAAATAGTGCAGTTAAATTTTCACCCTAGAGGAGAAGCTCTCAGCCACTGCCCAGTCTTCTGTGTCCAAAGAATGAATCGGAAACAAACTCCAGCTCCGCTACTCCACGTACGTCACAGCCTGCAGAACCACAGCTGACGTCACAGAGGGGCCTGGAGAACGCCGCTCCCTCCACACTCGGTCCGCATCCCACCCAAAAAGGAGGTCCAGACATTGTTGTCATTGCTGCTATTTTCCTTACTTTATTAGAAGGGCATGTGCTCTGGACCGCATTTGGTCTGGACCTGCCTGGTCCAGTTCAGAGGGAGAGGCGCATCCCAAAGCAAGGACGTTTCTTTACGCATGAGTTCTTGTCTGGAGGAAGCAGAAGCCCGAATTGCAAGGATAACCTAGTATTTTGATCTAGCACTATAAATTAAAAATACTAAGTCAAAATGATGATAAAGAGGTACCAGACTGAGGGTCAAACACTTTGATATTTCTCTGTAGGACCTCAGCTCTAGCACTACAACCTAGTCCCTAGGGGTCTCTCTGAGACAAATAAATAGCAGTCATCTCTGTGGATGAATTAAAAATCTAGCTCATTGCCCTGGCCGGTGTGGCTCAGTTGGTTAGAATGTCATTCTATAAACCGAAAGGTCATGGGTTCGATTCAAGGTCAGGGCACATGCCTAGGCTGTGTGTATAGTCTGCAGTCAGGGAGTGTATGGGAGGCAACTGATTGATGTTTCTTTCACACTGATGTTTCTCTCTCTCTCTCTCCGCCCCCCCCTTCTCTCTCTAGAATCAATGAATATGTCCTTGGGTGAGGATTTTAAAAATTTTTTTAAAAAATGACTCATCAAAAATTAGACTGTATTCAGCTTTCCTTTAAACCTGAAACCCTAGATCATTCCAGGAGGCTTAGCAGATATTTTATTTTATTTTATTTTTTGAGGTGTTGGTGTGGTGATAGAAGAGCGGGCATGTGTGATGAGGCGGGAGTAGAGAAATAACCATTTTATTATCTCCAAGCAGTGTGTGATTTGGGAGTTAGATGGGTAAAGTGAAAAAATGGAAAATTGTCTCTGCATCTGGTGCTTGGGTTCCCTGGTCTTACACAGAGAAAAGAAGTCAGAATAGTTCGAAAGTTGGAAAATGTCTCAGGCCTCCTCCACCCTATCTCTTGCTTTTTTTTTTTTTTGTCCAGTTCATTTCCTTCTGAGAATGGACCTAAGCCAACCTGGCCATTCACAGATGTTAGGTGCTTTAAGTAATGTCTGGAGCCTCTGCTTAGCAGTGGATGGGAACTATAGTCCCTTCACCCACAATGTTAAAATAAATCAAGATCCTAAACTCTGCCTCACACTCACATGTTTATTAGATATCTGTCCCCTCAACGTCATTCAGCCTATTTTAGAAATGCACAAAAGCCTCCATTCTCTGATTTTAGGCTCCCCAGAAAATATCTTAGGTTAAAGGTTTATTGTAGGCATGTGCAACCAAATAATCTGAAGGTCTGGATCAGACAATTGTCTGCTCCAAGGTCTGTCAGCCTTGCCACTTGATATTTTGAACCTAATTGGGGGGGCGGTGCCCACAGGGCCCCCCTGCCTCCCTACCCCCCCACCCCCCACCACCATGGATTAGAATAAGTCTACCAAGACATGATCTGCTTGGGGAGGAAAGGTGGTCAATCTCTCAAAGGAGAAGGACCAAAAGCCTTTTCCTCAAAGGGCTTTTATTGGGTTGATTTTGCACAGGAATACAGGTAAAGCTCATTAATCATTGTCAGGCAGTAAGGATCAAACAATAGATAACATACAAAGAACTCTGAGGGCCTATTCTGAGTCAGGGTCTGTTAGCTAAGGGGCTACAAAACTTTGGGAAACAAACTCATTTCCTGCTCAGACCCTTATCATTTAATTGAGAGCATTTTTAGCAAAGCAGGTTTCACAGGATTTTATGTATTCTTTCTTAGGCCTGATCACCTGGGGAACCCGCCCTTTCCAGCACCACCCTCTGTCATTGCTTCAGGCTTAAATCAGGCAGGGGAAGTAAGGCAGCCAAGAGATTAGGAGATTTTCTCGCAGACAGAATGAGGACTCAGGCTATGTCAAAGCCGAGGGGCAAGGATCCATCACCCCTTTTTGCTATAGCACCCCAAGTCCTTCCCTGAGGCCTCCCTGTGATTGTACCTGTCTTAGGTCATTCCCCCCTTGAGGAATCTTACCCATCATTGGCTAACTGATCAAGCATTGGGGTCCAGTTATGGGTGAAGTAAAAGGAGCAGAATCAGCGCTCCTGCCAGGGAGATAAGCTTTGTTTCCTTAGTGGCTTCAGGTCCGAAGGTCATTCACTCAGCCTTAACCATGTGGGTGTGTATGTGTGTGTGTGTGGGGGGGGCGGTTACAGATTCTGAAACCAGGCAGAGCAGTTCCCAACACCCAATACTCTTTGTTGTAGGGGTTGTTCTGTGCACTGTAGGATGTCAGCAGCATCATGACCTCAGCTCAGGAGATGCCAGTAGCACCACCTCCCCAGCTGTGACAACAGAAAACATCTTTGGATGCTGCCAATGTCTCTGGAGGATGAAGTCATCCCTTCTTAAGAACCAATGGTGCAATTGAATGGCCAATGGAATAATCCATTAAGTGAGGGAAGTCAGGACCAACTAGAATTCCAGCTGAAGATTCTACCCCCAAATTTAGCCCACCGAGCCTGCCCGAGCTTTGTAACTGTAGCTGTTTGACCATTTCACTTTACTAATGCAAAGAGGATTTCTAGCATCCTTTATACAAAGCAAACTTCTAGTGTGTCTTGAGATAGAAATTTTATCAGTGTTTGCCACAGGCATTTCTGCAGTACAGGCTTTCGAGTGGGCTCTTTCAGTGCTAGCTACCTTTGTTGTGTTGCTTGTGTCAGTGTGCTTTGACTTCCTTCTAACCTCCTGTGGGTGTGGAGTGTAGTCAACCCACCCATGGCATCCAGTGTCCCACTGATACTGATGTTATGTACAAGCAGACTGCATACAATCTAATGCCTCCCCTTCCCAAGCTCCTTCTTCCTGATGAATTATGTCACCCACATTATGGTTTGAAGGAAACCTAGGCACCCTGAAGTTCAACTCTGGTATCTGAGTAAACTGAGGAGATTCTGAGAGAATGGTTGCCTCAGGCAGGTCAAAAATCACTTAAAAGCACGATTTATTTTCCTTTTTTGGCAGCCAGGGAAGCTTAATAAGCTCAGTGGTTGGGGGCAGAGAGCTATGAAACATAGGCTAGTCTAACCTAACACTTTGTAAAGACAATTTGTGCTCAGTTCTCTTTATTTTGGATATCATTTTATATGGAGTTAGTCATCTACGCACATTTTCATGTGTTTCTGACTATGGCTAAAACAACACTCCTATGTTAATTAAACATGATGTACTTTTCCAAAATCTTCATGCAAAATTAATTTTCAAAAGGACATCTTATTTCTATTCTATAGTGATGAGTACTGAGGAGCAAACTATTGC